GCTGGCTGGCTCTGCTGGGGCTGTGGAGACGCAGAAGCAGAAGCAGCAACAGCCGCTGCCTGTTCCTGCTCCTGATAGTACTGAGAAGCCCGTCTGTCTTCTTCCTCTTGGAGTTTCTTTGCTAGCTCCAAATCTCTGATTCCTTCCGGAATTTTTTCCCAATTGATCTCTTGGCTTTGCTGTTCTTGTTGTAGAGATAATGCCATAAGATAGTCCTGATCTATCTGATCTTGTTGTCCTTTGTCTACAGTTTCAGGATCTGAAGGAGGCCGCAGATGAAATTCAGAGTCACAGAAGTTTCCATCACTGTCTACATTGTGTAGGCTTTCCCAAACAACTTTTTCATTGGTAAGAACCCTCTGATCTGTTATCAGCAAATACAGCTGACCCTTGTATTTGGTCATGGTGCTAAAATGATTACTCCGAAAGAACACACAAAGTTCTCCTTCCTGAACCGTTGAAGTTAGTTCCCATAATCCATGGTCTGTCAGTTGAGTGGCTGTGTTATTTAGAAATTGCTCAGCTACAAAGCCTTGGCTAACCAGCTCTCTACTGTCTGACTGCTTACAAGAGATGATCTTCTCCACAAGTTGGTTGTAGCTGCAGTTACCAACAGCTTTGACAATGTCATCAATCTGAGGATCTACTAACCACCCATGGTACAAAGGAATACCAAGCAGATCAAATACTATGCACTCTGGTGTATATGCAAACACTCGGACACCAGTGAATTTTACATTTACATCCAGGCCTGTCTGTAGTTTGTGCAAAATTGCCATAGCATCACTCATATTCTGTTCATAATTTAAACGTTGAATTTCTGAAATTTCTTTTGGCTTTGCCTCAGGCATGTAATCTCCTATATATTCCATCAGCTGCTCAGCAGTTATGATTTCCATCATCGGTGTAAGTTTCACCTTCCAGGCCAGGAGCAAAACATTGAGGATGGCCAGCAAAGGGCAGGGTCCATTCTCATTCTGGGTGATGATGGGTGTGTTCTCTTCCTTCCACTGGATCCACTTGATGTGATACACAGATTGTCCTGGGAAGCATTCCTTGGAGGCCTCCAGGACCTGAGCGGTCTCCGCCTCCTCCTCCTGGCAGAGAAGGACAGCCCCAGGCACCGCCGCGCGGTGGCGCACTCCTCCTGCTCTGGGACCCTGTTCTCCGCTCCCTCCTCACTATTGAACTCGGAGCTACTGGGGAAAGAATGCAGGTTAGAAAACGACTCCAGGGAGTCCGGGCTCGGCGATTCCCCAGGAGGGCTCAGGTGGCTGCAACTGCTGCTGAGGCCGCCCGCACTGCTGGGATCTTCGGAGCCAGAGGTCGCCAGCTGTGTCTGGCAGGTGCCGGCAGGATCCGGGCGGGCTCCCGCGTCTCCAGCCGGACCCAACCCATGACCGACTCCGGCCTGGGCTGTCTCCGGGGAGGCGGTCATCTTGTGCTGCCCTCTCAGAGGTGGCTTGGCGGCAGCAAGACTCTCCAAAGCGCTTTCCTGCACGCCCAAGTCCGGGAAGAAGCTGCAGGGTCCGGGAACCTGAAGAG